ACATAGAATTCAGATGATGCCCACTTAGGCTTAAATCCCAAGTCCTTCATATGCCCTTGCCTGATCTGGTCTTTGTCTTCTCTGCCTCTTCACCTTCATCTCCCACTACACTATCTCTTATTCTCAACATTTCAGACATTGTTCTCTCTTTGCTTTTCTCTCCCTCAAGATCTTTGCCCAGGGTGTTCCCTGTGCTTAGAACATCCCCTCTTTCTTTGCCTGGCTGACTCTTTATTTTTCGGATCTCAACTTAAAGGTCACTTCTCAGCATTGCTTCCCTTTCCCCTCCATCTGGGTTAGAGGGGGTCACTGCCCCTATTCCTTCAGGACCTGGCACTTTTCTTCCTTTGCATTTACCACGAGTTATGATTGTGTATCATTTGTGTTTTCTTCTTTGGTGTCTTGAGTATCTTAATTGTTTTGTTTAATGACTCTGAACTCCATGAAGGCTGGGACTGTTTGGCTCTGAACAGTGTATTCTTGGTATCTAATACAGAATCATGCATAGTACAGACACTTAATAAACATTTAGTGAATACATTAATAATTCAATGGTAAGAACACTGTTTCCACAGGACTCCAACGTTGGACGGGATAACAGATTATTTAGTCTAGGGCCGGGCTTAATGGCTCATCCCTGTAATCCCAGCACTTTGGGAGGTTTAGGTGGATGGATTGCTTGAGTCCGGGAGTTCAAGACCAGCCTGGGCAACGTGGCAAAACCCCATCTCTGCAGAAAACACAAAATTAGCCAGGCTTGGTGAGATGTGCTTGTGGTCCCAGCTACTCAGGAGGCTAAGGTGGGAGGATTGCCTGGAGCCCAGGAAGCAGTGAGCTGAGATTGTACCTCTGCACTTCAGCCTTGGCAACAGAGTAAGACCCTGCCTCCAAAAAAATAAAAATAAAATTTAGTCCAGTCTCCCTTTCTATCACGTTGGTCATGTCTTTGACAAAGGTGCACTCAAACTTTATTCCTTATGTACTCTGTGAGCAAAACCCCTGGGTTCTTTTGGTTGTATCTCAAGTGGAGTGGTTGCTATGTCCTTTGCATTCCTGTCATTCTTCTCTCAAGTGCTTAGGAGGCCTGGCCAGGTGGAATAAAGTAAGATGGTTGTCCTCTTTGATTAATCTCAGACTGCATGCATGTCTTAGCAGTCGTCATCAATACCAATGCATGTTGAACTCGTAGTCAGGGAAGATTTGATGGCTGTTCTCCATACAAGTGATCACAGCTTTTTTTTGTCTATAAAAATTTCTTGCAGATTGGATTGTCATGGATAGCACCTGTCAGTGACTTCCTTTGCCAGGTTGGCAAGTGTGTTATAAACATGGATTAGAGGAGGGAACTTCTATTTAGCACCTACTGTGTACCAGGCTCTCTTAAATAGTTTAAAATGTGTATTTACATTATATAATATATATAAAATCAGGCAGGGAAGTATAGGATAGTTGTTAACATGTAGAATCTGGAATCAGACCTCCTTGATATTAATTATGACTCTACTTACCTGTTGTGTGAGCTTTGATAAGTTCCTTAAAGTCGACCTGCCTGTTTCTTCATCTGTAAAATTAAAATAATAATTTAACCTTTAAATAAGTTGGTTGATGGTTTGATAACTTAATATATGCAAAGCATTTATGACAGTACTGGGACATAGAGGTTAATATGTGTTAGCTATTATTTTATATGAGTTCCTTAATTTTAAAAATATTTACATTTATTTAATTTATTTTAAAAATTGTTTTAAATATGTGCTTGCTATTATCTCATTTGGTTCTCAAAATAACTGTCAGTTAATAAATATCACTCCAGATTTGTTTGTTTGTTAAGATGGGGTCTTGCTGTATTGCTGAGGCTGGAGTGCAGTGGCTCTTAACTGTTGTGATCACAGTGCATTGTAGCCTGGAATTTCTGGGCTCAAGTGATCCTGTTTGAGCCCAGGATTACAGCTGAGATTACAGGCGGTCGCCACCACAGTTGGCCTCATTCCAGTTTTAAAGATGAGGAAACTTATTCAGAGAGGTTAAGTTAAAGGCAGATCCAGAATTTGAGCTTGTGCCAGGGTAGCAGGGTCATGGATGTTTTTGTGGAAGGAATCACACACAGCTCTTTCCTCTGAAAGGGAAAGCACTTAGAGTCTTGTGGCCAGCCAGCTCTGCAGGATGCCTTGGTTGTAGCTCTGATGAGGCAAGGCCACATATTAGCTTTAAATAAACTGATGAGGAAACAGTGACAATGAAAGATGTAACATGGCATAGTGGTCAGTCTCCTGTCCAAGACTGAGCTGCTTGCAGCAGGAGCAACCATACTCATATTCGTATTTCTGGTACCTAACACTGGGTTGGTAATATGTACTCTAGATGCAGGCCAGTTGGAGTGATTCACACCTGTAATCTGAGCACTCTGGGAGGAGGCCAAGGCCACAGGATTGCTTGAGGCCAGGAGTTTGAGACCAGCCTGGGCAACATAGTGAGTCCCCCTGCTCCCACCCCTATTAAAGTAAAAAAAAAAAAAAAAAAAAAAAATGTTGTTGGTGAATAAGTGAGTAAATTAATAAGTGAAAATTTGGAGAGGGGTGGAGACCTAGCAAGGGAGGCAGGACCAAAGCCAGGGTTTTTGGCATGGTCACTGGAGAGTGGTAGCCAGTGGAGGAGGAGGAGCAAGCAAGAAAGGTGTGGGTTTGATTTAGACAGGTGGAGTGTGATTCTAGTAGAAATATTTAATGGGAAAATTGAAATGAGGAAGAGAGATTAGGATTGGAGATACACTGGAAACTTCTCTTGAATTTGAAACCTGGAACATGTATCCTTAGAATGACAGTTGAATTATTTCAAGAAGTTTTCAAAGAAATGCTGTTAAATCATGTGACAAACATTATTCTATAGTTACTTTAGACTTTACATCTTTTTCTCTCAGCATTATGTGATGGGAAACAATTTCATATTAGAGAGATAAGAGATTGCAGGGATTTTTAGAACTAAGCCACATAAAAAATACACGTATAAATGATACCTTACTGTAAACGTTCTTTGCCTCAGTACTGTAAATAACTTTGGAGAGCTAATTAAAGTGAAAATTCTTACGTAGATATTATAAAATAAAAAGCTCGGGTTATTAATGTAGACATCACATCAGAGTCATTGTGCCATAGATAAGCAAAATCTTTGTCATTCAGGAATAGTTCAAGCTGAAAGTCAATAAAATCAAACCACCTGAAACAATGGGATGGGTGTAAAGTAGAATGATATTTATCTTGATACTAACTAGCCTTTTCCCCCGTTATTTATTTAACAATTTTACTTTGAGGCCTTTAAAAGTTCACTGTCTGTATCACCAAACCTTAATTGTAGAGGTTATGTTTCGTGTCATCCATATTAGAAGTTCAATTTTGTCTTAATAAAGTCAAATTTGCAATATTTTAGTAAATAATTTTTTTAAGATACTGCTTTTTTCCTTTTTTTCTTTTCCCCTTCCCTTCCCTTCCCTTCCCTTCCCTTCCCTTTTTTCTTCCCTTTTTTCTTCCCTTTTCCCTCCCCCCCGCTTTGATGGAGTCTCGCTCTGTTGCCCAGGCTAGAGTGCAGTGGCACGATCTTGGCTCACTGCAAGCTCTGCCTCCTGGGTTCATGCCATTCTCCTGCCTCAGCCTCTCGAGTAGCTGGGACTACAGGTGCCCGCCACCACGCCTGGCTAATTTTTTTGTATTTTTAGTAGAGACTTTTTCACTGTGTTAGCCAGGATGGTCTTGATCTCCTGACCTCATGATCTGCCCGCCTCAGCCTCCCAAAGTGTTGGGTGTTGGGATTACAGGCATGAGCCACCACGCCTGGCCTTCTTTTTTTTTTGAGATGGAGTCTCGCTCTGTCACCCGGGCTGGAGTGCAGTGGCACAATCTGCAATCTCGGCTCACTGCAGCCTCCATCTCCCGGGTTCAAGCGATTCTCCTGCCGCAGCCTCCTGAGTAGCTGGGATTACAGGTGCCCGTCACCATGCCTGGCTGATTTCTTGTATTTTTAGTAGAGATGGGGTTTCACCATGCTGGCCAGGCTAGTCTTGAACTCCTGACTTCAGGTGAGTGCCCACCTTGACCTCCTAAAGTGGTGGGATTACAGGTGTGAGCCACCGCACCTGGCTCCCTTTTTTTTTTTTCCTTTAATGATGAAGCATACTCTAAAAATATGTATAATTTTCGCCTGGCACGGTGGCTGACACCTATAATCCCAGCATTTTGGGAGGCTGAGGTGGGCGGATCACCTGAGGTCAGGAGTTTGAGATTAGCCTGGCCAACATGGTGAAATCCTGTCTCTACTAAAAATACAAAAATTAGCCGAGTGTAGTGGCGCACACCTGTAATCCCAGCTACTCAGGAGACTGAGGCAGGAGAATCACTTGAACCTGGGAGGTGGAGGTTGCAGTGAGTCGAGATGGCGCTGTTGCACTCCAGCCTGGGTGATAAGAGACTCCATCCTGGGTGATCCAGCCTGGGTGATCTGAGACTCCATCTCAGATAAAATAAAATAAAATGAATAAATATGTGTAATTTTCTAGGTCAGCTTCTTTTTCTATCTATAGAATAAATTATTTATTACAAAGACAGGGTATTTTCATTATATCTACTAGCATTTACAAGAATGTTGATGGTTACCTTTATGTTTTAAATTTGACTTTTCCTGTTTAAGTCTTAATATATTTGGGAATTTTCATGTTATTAATAAAATAATTACTTTAGAACAGAAGAGACTATTGAGATTGTTTAATATACTTCCCTTGTTGTACATATGGCTTATCTGAGATCAGGGGAGGTTGCAGCCTATTACTAAATTATTTGAAGTTTGAAATTATAGTGCCTAAAAAAAAAAAAAAAAAGCAAAGATAGCTTTAATCTTTTAAAATGTTTTTCGTTGTTTAAAGGTGTGTTTGGGCATTTGTTTCCCTTTTAGTTTTTGAAAATTTTCCAGAATTCAGTTGTATTCCTTACCTTTTAAATGTTTTTGTCTTTCAGGAGTCATAAGAAAGCAGTGGGAGTTGAAGTCATTGTCAAGTGCTTGCGATCTTTTACAAGAAAATCTCACTGAATGATAGTCATTTTAAATTGGTGAAGTAGCAAGACCAATTATTAAAGGTGACAGTACACAGGAAACATTACAGTTGAACAATGACTCAGCTATATATTTACATCAGATTATTGGGAGCCTATCTCTTCATCATTTCTCATGTTCAAGGTAAATCAGTGTTCATTTTAGTAATGTATTTCTGTATATAAAAAGCACTCTTTCTTGCTTCTGTTCTTTCCACTCATCCCTGTTTGAATAGTTAGGCCTAACTATTGAATAGTTTTTAGGAAAGAAGCAAAGATGAAACACATGCCAAATAATTTTTTAACTTGGCTGTGATGGAAACATTTTCAAGTGTTTTTGAAATCTCATTCTCTCTGAGTCTATCTTCTGCTTCACAACATAGGCGTGATGATACACAGCATTAGGTCTTGTGAGGATTAAATGAGATAAAGTATGTAAAGCCACCTGTTAGTGGCTGAAAGACAGAGTAATAGATATTCCAGACTGAGCTTCAAAATTCCTCTCTCCTTTAAAATACAATAAGGAGCAAATGTAAATAATAATTTAAAAATCATTTTATTGGCTAGGCACGGTGGCTCACATCTGTAATCCCAGCACTTTGGGAGGCCGAGGTGGGCGGATCGTGAGGTCAGGAGTTCAAGACCAGCCTGGGCAACATGGCAAACCCTCGTCTTTACCAAAAAATACAAAAACTAGCTAGGTGTGATGACGGGTGCCTGTAATCCCAGCTACTAGGGAGGTTGAGGCAGGAGAATCACTTGAATCCCGGGAGGCGGAGGCTGCAGTGAGCCGAGATCGTACCACTGCACTCTAGCCTGGGCGACAGAGCAAGACTCTGTCCCCGCCCCCACCACCGAAAAATTTCATTTTATTGTTGTCAAAAGACTTTAGAAAGATAACTGGCACTTGTCTATGCTGAATACTAAAATTTCTTCATAGAGCACTGACAGTTTGTTTATGACCAATAATGTAATTTTGCTACTATGTGTTCACAACTCAGAACTCCCAAACAGGAAGTTATTGTGATGACTTTTAGGACCAGATGGCCTGTGTTTGCACATAAGCTTTTTCCTGTATGGTTTAAGTAGGATTATATTTTAAGCTGAAAAGACAGTACTGTTTTGCAAGAGGATTTTAGATAAAACTTACTGGATGTCTTCATACTCAAGTTTTTTACTTCACAGGTTGCTTTTTCCTAACGTTTTATTTGCAGTGATCTGGATTAATATCTGCTGTTAAAAAGAAACATGATTAACATCATAAACCTTTTGATATTTTCTTTTTCTTTTTTTTTTTTTTTTTTGAGACGGAGTCTTTCTTGCCCAGGCTGGAGTACAGTGGCGCCATCTCGGCTCACTGCAGGCTCTGCCTCCTGGGTTCACACCATTCTCCTGCCTCAGCCTCCCGAGTAGCTGGGATTACAGGTGCCCACCACTACACCCGGCTAATTTTTTGTGTTTTTAGTAGAGACAGGGTTTCACCATGTTAGCCAAGATGGTCTCAATCTCCTGACCTCGTGATCCACCCTCCTTGGCCTCCCAAAGTGCTGGGATTACAGGTGTGAACCACTGTGCCCGGCTGGTATTTTCATCTTAAAGCACAAACAGAATGAAATCTATAGCTTCTTTTTATTTTGCCTTAGTATTATAATCATATCCTTAGTATTAACATGCTTGGAATACAGAGCCTTCAGCAAAAGCCACTTTTACTTGTGAAACACCAAATTATTTAGTACAATACCTTTACTTCAATATCCGTTACATGCCTTGTTGATCAGCATCAACCAAAGCTGCTATAGTTTTAAAGATGAGTTAAATTCATAGTAATATTATATTTGCTACCTCACTCCCAGGTAATCTCCATTTTGGCATAAGTTTTTTAAAATTCTGTTTAGATCACACATAGGCAATATGATACAAAATTCTCAGTCCTCGCCCCAGTTCACGTTGTTCTATAATAAACTTTTATTAGATGCAATAAGTTGGTAATTAGTTACTGTGTAAAAGCAAAAGATCTTATTAAGAATTACATTTCTCTGATAAAGAGTGAAATTTGTTACATTTCCTTTCAAAAATATTATTTTGATAGTTGCTTCAAATAACATAAAAATGTTTGCTCTTAAAGCTAAAACCAATGTAGAAAAGTTATTTCTTAGAGATCATTAGGAAGGATTGTAGAAGGGTATTAATGGAAATAACTTTTGACTTTAGCTCTAGCTTTATCTTGTTTTGAATTGTGTCTCAGGAAAATAAACTTATCTGTACCTTGGTTTCCTTGATGTAAAATAGAAATAATAATGCTTATCCTAGATACAAACAAGAATGTTTTGACCATCAACTGTTAGGGTATAAATTTAAGTGCTTTACATTGAGATAAAGTTTGAATAGAAAAATGAGTCATCTGATATTAACAGCTGATAGATACTTAGTTCTTTTTTTTTTTAAGACTTGGTCACAAATTTTACAGCAGGATATATTAATATTGGGTAGATATTTAGTCCCTTTTTTGAATTTCATCACAAATTTCAGAAATGGATTTTAGCTTTAAGTAACTAATAATGACTTCAATAGAGATTTATTTTTAACATAGGTGGTAGATGTTTGCTGTTCATTCAATTATTGAGTAGTGTCAAGGCTGACATGTCTGTTATTTTCTTGACATTTCCCTTGTGGTTCCCAAGTGGCTACTATTATCTGCATTTGAGGCAGGTAAAACGGGGAAAGGGTCGGCATTGGCCTCAACTAGACCTGATACCAGGAAAGCAAAAGTATCACAGGTTTTATCCTAAGTCCTAATCATTCTCATAGCAAGAGCTACTGGAAAACAGAGAAACAGTATTGTCACAATTAGCTTAATCTATCCATTGCCTAGGCTGGATGTGTTGTTCCCCCAAACAAAATCGGAGTTTGGTTAGCTGGGAAAAGGGGAAAAATAGGTATCAATTGGGCAACTAAAAGGGTCTGGGAGAGATTTAATTTCTTCCATCAATTAGAATGTTTTCCTCTGCAAATAATTTTAAAAAAATTTAAAAGAGCTTAAGCATGACATTTTGGGTTAGGCGATTTTTATTTTTTTAAAAAGACTTGAACAATAAGGAGAATGTAGTAACACACAAGAAGTCTGGATATAAGGGGACTGTAGTTGCTTATGTGGCTCATCAAGACCCACCTTCTTTGTACTTTTCAACTGTGCCATCTCTAAATGTCAGGTTAGCCACAGTGTCACAGTGTGGCTGCTGAGAGACCAGACAGCACATGCAGATGAGGTAAGCTTGAATTGACAATGCTCAGTTAAAGAAGAGGGACATCTATTTGTATCTCTTTTTAATTGATAAATCTTTCCCCAATCACTCATCCTCTCCCCAACAGACTTCCTTCTCATCTTAGTGGCCAAAATTCATTGTATGCTCTTATGTTAAATCACTGGCAAGGGAAATGGAATTAAAATTGTTGGATTAGACCAACAATTGTCTCTGCTGAGAGTAGAGGGCTGCGCTTCCCTGAATCACATGGGGGAGGGGCAGACCCTTAATGTGTGTGTACATGTGCACATGCCTGTTGCCAGCAAGGGAAGGAGGGGAAGAATAAGAGTATCTGTTGGCCGGGCACCACATTTGTCAACCTGACGTCATACATATGCTAAAATGCTCATGTTGCTATGAAATTTTCAGTTCCTTTTCAAAGGGTTCTATACCCCAGAGTTGCATCCATGTAGTACACGCAGCTACTAATCCAGGACTTGTGGCTGGTGCAAAGCCCTCTCCTTCAGGTCCAGGTGCCTTTTCAGGGTCCAGCAGTGTGTGGCTAAAAGCAGTTATCAGTGCACAGTATACCCAGTATCCAGTGACAAAAATGAAGTGGGATTAAGTACTATATAAAACTCCCATTCAGAGGAAGAAAAATTGGAAACAACCTCTGTGTTCACTGCTCCATAGCATGTAGATTAATGATTCTTAGCCTGTTTGTCAGCCTCTAGTTTTATTTTCTGGGAGGATTTGCCTTCTCTCTGGTGTTCCTTGGCTAGTGTTTCTGCCTTCATGGTCACATATGAGATGGAATTAGTGGATGATCTTTGTGGAGACTGAACAGCTTTAGCAGCCTGCTTTCTGTTAGTATGGCGGTCTGATTACTGGAAATTGTCCTATGGATTGAAAACTCACAGTCTGACTGAGTCAGCCTGGGATATCTTTGGCAGTGCAGTTCCCATAAAGTTGTAGTAGTCCTACATTCTATTTTCTTTGGTCTCTTTGTTTTCGTTCCATTAAACAGTTAAATCTCTTGTCTAGTTTTGTGTTCTGAGAATTTCTGACCTAGCCACTGGCCTCTGCTTTGCCCATTCTCCTGGCCTTTGGTTTAATGACCTCCGCTCTGAGGCCCTCCGCTCCTTTCCCATGCTAGAAAATGACCTGGTTTATTTGGTATCATAGCACTTATCTATGAATAAATATTAAAATAGTACCAAATGTCAGTATTTATTCGTCTTTATTGTCTTTCTCTGTCCAAGACTGTAAGCTTTAATATATATGGGACTTTGTTTTGTTTACTCTTCTAGTCACCCAGGGCTTAAAACAGTGGCTAGCACTGTGTACTCAGTACATTTTTGTTTAATGGATGAATACAGTTAAAGTGAAAAGAGCAAGTTGCAAAACTACTTTTTTCGCCATATATTTTTACACTGACCAACCCAGTAGCAACAAGCACCTGTAACAACCCATTTGTAGTATCTGATTATCTTTTTTCACTAAGGATCTAGAACTCCTTGGAGAAATCACTAAGTTTAAGTTTGGCAGGGAAAGAGCAAGGTGATCTTGGTATCTTGGCCAGAAAGCAAGGAGAAAAGTTCAAAGGATTCAGTGACCGGCTTGAATTGGACACGAATTGCAGTGGATTCAAACAAATCAAATATGTTTAAATCCATGTGTTTGTAATGACACTTTAGAAAAAAACTAGTCGGGGCTGGGGGCTGTGACTTAAACCTGTACGTGCCAGCACTTTGGGAGGCCAAGGCAGGAGGATAACTTGAGCCTCAAGAGTTTGAGACCATCCATGGCTAAACTGGGAGCCCCTTTAAAAAAAAAAAAGAGTTTGAGACCAGCCTGGGCAACATAGAGCTGGTCTTTACAAAAAAAATTTTTTTTAATTAGC